CATAGCAGAAGCACTGAATCCCAGCCTTTTGTAAGTCTCTATAGCCTTCAAACGTTCTTCCAAAGCCTTATACATTTTGGCTGTTTCAAACAAATCAGCTGTAGAATCATTTGGAGGGCCATCGAGATTAATGACATCATGGTGATCATCCAGAGTCATCCGAGGGTTTTCCTTAGGGATTCCTCCATTGTCCTTCTTGGGTACACCATTTTTAGACGTAGAGGCACAATCAACCAGCTTAGTAACACTCAATCTAAGCTCCTCCTACCCTTGGATGACGACATGAAGAGTTTCCATGAGCTGATTCATTTGATCACCCATGGTGTCCATGTCTTTGCAGAGTGCGTCATGGTTCTGCTCAATCTGCTCCATAATCCTTAGCTTGTTGGCTCGAGGTTGATAGGGATGTAAGGAAGTCGTCTTGTATATTATGATAATATGAGGCAAAACCAACAGATAAGAATTTCGGCCGAAAACTTACAATTCATGAAATGCATGATATGTATGATGTATGAAATGATTGTCCATTCTGAGTTATACACTTAGTAAATGTCACTAACAGTCGAGCAACATGATAATAAGAATGACCATATAAAGAAAATATCCAACATTTCTCATGTAATAATGGAAACATAAGAAATCCCAACAGAGTTCAATATATGAAAGTTGCGAAAGTACAAGATAAACAATTCCACCCAACAAGCCTGGTGGTAATCAGAACAACAAGATAGAAAATACAATAATCAATCCCCTAGATCTTAAGAATGCAACAGACTGTGCCCCAAGTGTTAAAAACCAAACTTTGAATCATCTCATCCTTCTTTATTATCGTGATCTCCAGACTACGAAATCGAGTCAACGAATCAGCATGCTCTTTATTTGCGACATGATTCTTTCTCCCCCATTATTTCCTTCAACCCCCCTTTTTTTTATAGATTTTCAATCTTCTTATTGAACCATTCCATAGAATATAGAAGCTAACAACGCGTTGAACATGCACCAATTACCATCTCTAGCCATTTATTCTACTTTACCGACCAAGAAGTATGAGGTTAGAATACTTATTCTTTATCCATCTCTGCTTCACATCACTAAGGCCCAAATAAAGTGCCTTAGCAACAACTTCAAGACTGGGCTCGTTCGGAACAACAACAAATGACACATGCTCAGTGATCTTGAGAAAATGAGAGTACGCTTCCAAAGTTGGAGCGATCTGATAGTCCTGGAAGGTGAAATAGCGTAACTCATAATCATAAAACTGAAGTAAAGTCTAGAGAGCTCCATTATAAACCCGAACACCTATCAGAGTCAAAGTGCTACCATGTCTTTCATGGAATGCCTCTGCATTGGGATGTATTAAATGGTCTTTCAAACTCTTCAAATAAGGCCAAGAACTCGAGTGAAACTAATAAGTAAAATTGTCTCTTCTGGTTCTCTTGGGAAAATCACTATTGTGAGACATTACTGACGAAAACCATAACCTCGTGAGATACCCAGGAATGTCCATCCACATGCAAGGTTAGTGTATAGTTTCATTTTTCTGACATTTCTTTTAAAAACTAAACATGATATGATGCAAGTGCAAGTGATCATGGGATTACTACTTCCATGATACTGATTTTTGATGTACTGTCTCTGCATAGTCTGCTAGTATCAGGAATCCAACAGAAACCAAAGAACCATAGACCAAAGAACCATAGGTTTGGAACATAAACCAAAGAACCATAGTCCCCAACAGAAATCCAGAACATAACCATTAAAACAAATAGTCACCATCTGAACATAATCTCCATCTAAACATGAGTAACCATCTGAACATAGTCACCATTTGTACCTATGATAGTAATTCCCTTCCCACTCATGGGTGAAAACTAGGCCAGTGTAAGGTTGGGTAACTCAAAATCGAGTGTACTCTTGAAAAACTATCACTGTATCACCTACGTGAAAATGATAGCCCCTCATTTGTACCTCATCTGAGCATGGACGACATGATGATAATAGTGAAACCTAAGTCAACTAGCCGACATGTTCCACTATATTCCTAATGTTCCTATGGTTGTCACTTTGCCTGGGTATTAGGCCTTTTACCTCATAGTAACACCCCAACCCAATTAAGAAGCAGATCTAGTACAACAATACTATATGGAAAATAGTAAAATGCAATGTATACATATGCTCAGGTAATCATGTATGAATGAATAATCAGAAAGCATTAAAAATAAACACACAAAGAAAAGAAAATAAGAGCTAGGAGCGACTTCGGGATGAACCAGCATTTGGTCGACCTTTCCCCAGGGAAGTCGTCAGCTGAAACAACCGGCTGAAAATCATCAGACAATGAAGTCGCCATCGAACATCTTTTATCCCACATGAAGGGAAAGGTAAACATCGAGAAAACCTGAGAAGGGAGAAGTCACGGTCTTGCAACCGAAATATTGGGTAAGGGAGTCTGTTATGCGAGGGGAAGGTATTAGCACCCCACACGTCTGTAGTGCTCTACAGTATCCACTCTTGTTGTTCTAATATAAGGGTGTGTATATTCTATGCTTAGTGTTTACTACTGAGAAAGAATGCATGTAAAAGAAAGGAGAAAAGAATGCAAGGAAAATAAAGTTGTGATCACTTGGGCCCTACCCTAATACCTACGTATCCTTTTTGAGGAATCAGAGTTACCGTAGTTCGGCTTACATGTTTTATTTGTTGTGTTTTTTATGAACAATGTTAATTATGCCTTCTGCCGCAGCTTAACCTTTGGAGACTCACGCATTAGGACAAAAGTAAATTAGCATGTCCTTACCTGAAAATAGTTTTGAGTTTCTCCCTCAACGCAAGATGCTACATTTGATTGGTTTGTGTTTTGTTACCTTGAAAAATGGTTTAAGTGTTATTAGAGTGTTTTTCACTTGCTATGAAAAACAAAGTTTTAGTTTTAATGCATATGCAAAAGGGGAAGAAAAGAGATTATTGAAAACTAGCCTATTTCTAATCCTAATGTTATCATAAAATGGTAGTCCCAAGGTTTGGATTAACACGGGGGAAATCTCAACTTAGTGTTAGCATGCATGGTTTGCAACCTAGGGTCTAACTTGCATCCAAAAGGAACAAGTACATCCTAAGGGAACATGGTATGGGAAGCGAGTAAACAAACAAGCTCAAAAGAGCACACACATGAAACAGTAAAGAAAAGAAGTAAAATGCTTTAGCCAGGGGGGAGCGTATCACTCGAGACAAACAAGCGGGAGTAGGATGTAAAACAAAAATGTGATGTCCAAAGCGACTGAACACGTAACCAAGATATAGAAGATTGGGGTAGGCGATAGAAGGCAATATGAACAATCACGGAGTATTAGCATCGACCAATGCGAACTCCTGACAGAGTGTGGGGGTTCGATTGCAAAACCCTTTTCCACTTGACGGCTCGATAACAAGAGTAGGAACAACTCTGAAGCATCATGGTGCGTCACGAGCTAAGGATGACACAGACGAAATTATGGGGGTTGATTGTTAATCCTTTTCCACTCGCCTCCTTTAGAGGACTTCAATAAGGTATGGGGGAATAATGCGGGCACAAATGTAAATACACCTACAAAATACCTACACAAAGGTAGGGTTTTAAACAAACCACAGATAAGTAGCACACAATGGCAAGCAATGCGAAATTGCCCTAAATAGGTCTTTAGATAAACCAGAGGGGTTCCTGACATGATCAACAACGGGTATCCCCTTCATACATCTCTAATCCTACTTCTCATGGCAAGGAAAGCAATAAAGTTCCTACTTCTCATGATATCTAGAAAGCGATAAAGAGATGCAATAAAGTGCGGGAAAATGTAAAAGCAGTAGCAACGACTACCAAAAGCAAGCATATCACCGAAAGCTGACAAAAGAAATGGAGAAGCAAGGAGTACGCGTCGAGCAAGCTTCACCGAGAAACAAACAAAGTTAGAAATAAATCCAACTAAGGTGAAGCAAACGCAGGTTGTGAATGCAACGCGTAATCAAAAGTCCCTGCATAAAGCATATAATATGATATGAATTTCTCATGACGATGAGAAATAAGGCGTGTCACATTGAAAGCGAGCATAAGCGTGTGCTTCGATCACATAACTACCTATTATGTTACATGATCGAAAACATCAAAAATGTACCTTGCACAATGAACAAACGCGTCAAAAATAACGAGGCACGACAGTATGAAAATATGAATAAAAAAAAAATTTTATTAGTTTTTTTTTTGAAAAAAATTCTATCAAAATCTAGAGAATTTATTCCTAAAATCAACTAGCATACTCTATTATATTTTGTAGCACATTCTCATCACAATTTTGTGCTATTAAAATCAATAAAAAGAAAAACTAAAGACACTATTGAAAAGAAATTTAGCTAACCAAACAGAAGGAAGTGCAATGTCTAAATCATATTGTGTAGTAGCAAATGGTGCAGAGCCCAATCTAAAGGAATCCAATGCAGATTTTGTATGGCAATGGTTATAAAAAAAACAATGGACACCAGCCTAGAGATTTCGGCCCAGGTCCACCACTATTATCAACCTCTTCATTATTTCAGATTTTTATTTAGTTAAAATAAATAGTAAAAAGAAAATAGAAAGCAGTGAAAATGTGTAAACAATGTCGTTTGGTTTATCATGTTCCTTCTCTCTCATTTCTGACTTAGTGCGATTTCCGATTAGTATTTCGCCGAACCAGAAATCGCCTCCAGCAGCGTTGGAGGACTAAAACGCACCAAACCGCCATCACCTTTCTCGTAACCCTCCTCTCCTTCAATATCTGATTTCCACTTTTCTCAAAAATAGACAAAAACCAAACAAATCTGAACCTAAGTCCTAACCCTAGAAATTGGGGTAAACGCGAATTCGTCGGGGATTAACGGAAAACATAGCAAACAAAGGCCAATCACCACAGAAGCATGCGAGAGCGAGCTAAAGAATGGCGAAAAGAAAGCTTAAATGGAACTGTTACTATCCCGACGCGGCGGCGAAGATGAATCTTCTGGCGAGCTCTGATTCATCTGGTATTTCTTCAACTTCGCTCAGACGCGGTACGCCATTTTCTTGCTCAATCTTCTGATCACGTTGTTATTTTTTCCGCTTCGATGTATTGCGATGCAGGTTAACCGTTGTGAACTGGTCTTGATGCAAGGCTTTTTGGTAATCTCAGATTTGGTCCCCTGGTATCCATAAGTCGGGGCGGGAATTCAGGTTCTCTATGCATTGAAGGCATGGGAGTATCTAACCCTGGATTTAACTCCCCAGAAGTATCTCTACTATAGCCTGGACTTGTTGACAGCTGAGAAGCACTATTTTCATCACCTTGTGTTTCTTGAAAATTTGCATTAGAAAATGCACTAGAATCCGACACAGTTCTAACATGGTTTTGAGGTAGTTCAGAGCTAAAGGCCCTTGAAGATTCCCTTCTATATTGTGATATTGATGAATGGCCGATTAAATTGATACTACCTTCATCGGAGCTAGCAGACCTGTTGTCTAAACTTGTGGGTGATGTTCTAGCAGCATCCCGTTAATTATGCCGCTTAAGGAACCTTTTGTAACTTATGAACTTTGAATGTAATCTTGAAACTTTTTGAACAACATTTATTCTTTGGAATTTTGTAATGAGATAAACTTTGATCCATGGTCATGAGCTGCTTCTTTTTTTGAAACCTTATTCGAACTGATTTTGAACTGATTTTGAACTGGTAAGTTTTGGACATATTTTGGTTCCACTTAATATGGTAATCGCATTAGTTTTGGATGAATTCTGGATGTGTGAATTGAACAAGTTTGGATCATGATGGTGAATTGTGTTGAAAGTTATTTATAGGCCAGAGTGGTATTGAAATGCTAATATTAGCTTTGTGATACTTGGTAACTTTTGCCACCCCATTACAGTTTGTTGATGCAACGGTAATCTATCTTGAGGATCTCCATTATTAAATTAGTATCATGATGTTTTGATTAGTGTTTCCATCACCATAGTCCTTGGCATGCTGCCAAGGACACTCGTCATTGTTGCATTTTCCTCGCAGCTCATTCATGCAACGTGGCCAAAAATAGATCAACTTCAGGACTGCAACCATAAGAGCTTTCTTTTGAAAATAATATCCCGATGGTGACAGGCATTAAAACTGCCATCATGTTGTCCTTTGTTTCATCAGAACTAAGGAAAGTAGCATTTTGATTTTGACCATCATTATCATGAGTGGACTTACTTGATTTGGTAACTGATTTAACATAAATTGTGACATTTCTCTCGGCTCACTAAATACACTCTCTAAAAAGTAAAGGTGAAATATTGATTGAATTAGTTGAGTGATGATCTTGAAAAGGTATATTTCCTCTGAAATTAATCTTATTTGATATATACACTTTAAACCATTGTAAAACCTTATCTTGTAAGGTTCTTGATCCCATGCTAAATTTGTTGATTAGTGATGCATGATTTATTGTATGATCTAATGGATGTATGTACAAGAGGAATAATAGATGCATAAATCTGATAAAGTATTAATGGGTAAGATAAATTTGGGGTAATACACTACTGCGAATGATTTGACTGGTTATAAGTTTCTGGTGTTGCAAACCCAATAAAAATAACATGACATATCATTTTTCAAAAAATGATGTTCCAATAATATCATTGATTTCTCCTCCATCTGGTACTAATGGAACTTGGTTCACCCCTAGATTTTCATACATATGCTCCACCAACCTTCAAATTGTTGGATCTTCCTGAAAGCATTTAGCATTAAAAAAATATGAAATCTTGATTAACATACTATGAAACAGGAACTTTGACATAGATACTAGGACACAACACGACATAGATACTCTGACATCAATAATATTAAGAATATAGGACATGACACATCTACATATATATTATAGTATTTGACCTTTATTGACCATTTTATTATTAAAAGAGATTAAAATATTCTAATTAAAATTAATGTATTTAATTCTTCATTGATAACTTTACTTCAATAAATATTTAGCCATTTTAAATGTGTGCAAGCCAGTTTATTTTCGGGTTGCGTTGAAAACTACTACTATTGTGCATCCTAATCCAATGGTTGTGCACTGCAGAAAGAAGGTTTTCAGTGTTTGATGGATGACCGTGTGATTCTATTTGAGAAGATTCCTTTTGAGAAGACTCCTCATGTGGAGAGTATGTCCCAAGACCTGAAGCTTGAAGATGTGTCTACAATATCTGGTACTCCTATAAGGATCAAATCTAAGAGTCTTGTGAAGATTACTGCCGAACCTAGAGTTGCTCCTCTGATCATTACTGCACCTGAGCCAATTTCATATTCCTCTGATAAGGCTATCCCTTGGAATTATTGAGCTGATGTCACTACCATAGCGTCAAGAAAGAACCATTGACTGTCGAAGATGAAAATGCTAAAGTTACTGATCCCAACATTGGCAATATTACTGGGACTAGTAAGGTTACCAGAAGTGGAACGGTTTTCTTTCCAGAGATCTCTCTGAAGGATGTTACTACACCCATTCGTATCTGTTTACCTCGGGTTTTGGTAAACAACCGCTGATCCTCCAAATGGTTACTTATTTGGTTACTCGCAGGATCGATCAGATTGATCCTAGGACATAGGTTGATTTTGAAGTTTGATTGAATTGGATAAGGCTTTAAATAAATTGCATAAAGGAAAGACTTGGTAAAATAAACAAGGCTTTAAAGTAAAAGGTTCGACAAGAATGTAAAGGAGAAAGTAAGTAAATTTCTGGAAAAGTAAATGACTTTAATTGATAAAATTGGTGTTTCACACATACATTTCTCAACAATTCTTTCTCACACGCTGGGTACTTGAATCTATATGAGTGACTTTGTATAGAATTGTGAACACACGCGAGAAACTACATGTCTACTCCTATTTATACTAAAACATCCCAAGTAACCGTCGGGCAGTTACACTGCTTCGAGATCAATCCACTTGGCACGTTCTCCACGCTCGACGCTCCAGATCCTTGCACGTTTGCACGTGGTAACTGCTGGAAACCGTTTTCCCTCCAAACGCTTGAATTTCAAACTGCTCCACTCTGAACCATCGAACACTTTCGTCAAGAGACATCTTCGACGAGAAACTCCTTCGACGTCGAAGGCAACCAGCCTTCTTCCTTTGAAGAAATCTTCTAAGTACTTTGCCATCTTTCGACGGGCATTTCGACAGACTTAGCCAGTCGAAAGCATTTTTCAGCTTTTAATGGTTGACATTGATAAAACAAGAGTGTCGAATTTAGGAGCCAACAAATTGCCCCCCAAGAATGCCTTATTTCGACTCTGACAGAAAAAGGCATTCTTTGAAAACGCCATTCGACACTTGTCTTTTTATGCTTAGTCACAAATTAACTTGTGCACTTTTTGTTGCTTTTTACCAACTATTGGCAATCCCAAGAAAACCATCATTGATTTGATCCTAGGACGTCACTTTCAATACGGCGTGCAGTACCAAACGTCATTTCAGAATTTGTCATTATGACAATTCCCAAAACCGAGGACGCACGCTGCGTCCCTCTATTTCTGCAGAAACGGCCAAAACAACAGGGGGCTGCCACGCGTCCCACTAACTCCTGCAGCATCAAATGGCATTTAATGTCCTTGTTTTTGGGGATTTATCCCACTACTATAAATAGCAGTGAATATCCCATTGTGGGACTTTTTACGCCATCTAGCCTTTCAAACTTCTCTGTCTTCATACAAGCTTGTTATCTTTGCAGAAACTCTTCCTCTTTCACTTCGTCTTCAACCTCATTTCAACCCAACACTGATCCATGGCATCTGGTTCTACTGCTCCTAGTGCTAACGCACCAACTGAACAAGCTAAACCCAAGGTTTTTGTCACTGCTCCGGTAGTAAATTCTACAGGCAAACGAAGGGTTCCTGAACCTTCTGACATCGCCGTTCGCGATGCTTACTCGCGCCACTTGATGATCCCTGTTGGATACTCCAACCAGATCTTTGCAATGTCTGGCCCCATGAATCCAAGTATTTCTGAGGCTCTGAAGATCAAGAGCTATTTCCCGATAGTCGAGAAACTCAAACCAGTCGCATGCGCCAAGAAAGACGCAGAAGACAATGAAGACCCTGCACGTGAAAAAATCGACCTCCGCTTCTTCAACAGAGGTGTTAGGGTCTTCAGGTCTTGCCCTAACCTTACCTCCGATTATGTTGCTTGGCTAACAAAGATGGAGAAGCACCAAACTCCGATCTGGAAGGATATGGGAATCTTCGACCTAGTGATGCTGTCGAAGACAGGTTTGAACTACTCCCCGGAGATGCTGATAGCTTCACTGTTGTTCTGGGACTACTCCCACTTTACTTTTCATCTTCCCTGTGGGATGCTAACCCCCACACTCTTCGATGTGGCCGCTATTACTGGCCTTCGACCCACCGGGGATTACTTCGATCCGGAGGAGATGTCGGAGGACCAAATTGGCTTCTCTGAGACCAAACCAACATACACCACTTTCATCAACCATTATCATGACAGGTCGACAGATGCTGTGTCGGATGTCGAACACATAGCGTTTCTAGCCTTGTGGCTGACTCGCTTTGTGTTTTGCTCGAAGTCTCTACAGGTGACCAAAAAGATGGTCACTCTTGCTACTCAACTGCATCACCGCCAAAACATCTGTTTGGCAGAACTGATTCTGGCTAGCCTCTATGATTCGATCAGCAATGGGGCAACTCTTCTGAAACATATCGAGGACAGGGCCAGTTTGCTACTCGCTGGGCCTTTTTGGCTGCTCCAACTGTGGCTCAATGCCACTTTCGAATCTTTCTTGCCCAAGAAGGTTCAGATAAATGAACAGGCTCCAGCGATAGCGAATAGACGCGTCGAAGGAAATAGGCTGGCTCTGTTGACACCTATGGAAGATGGACTGGAGTTTCAGCAAACCTTCACCAACTTCGTTCTAATGTTTGCTCGAAGGAAGGAGTTTGTTTCAACTATGGCTCCATTTGCTCGACGGCAGGTGGGTCCAGCATGGTTCACAAGGCCACATCCAAGGGCGTCGAGTGGTCCTAATGTTGACGAACACACAATACTGTGGGAGGCGTTCCTTACACCAAGGATCATGCCTCTTCGATTCAAGAGTTCTAAGACTCATCTGAGTCTGATTGCATACCAACCAAACCTGGTATCTCGCCAGTTTGGTATTATCCAAACCCTACCTTCTTCGATTTTTCAAAGAGAGAAGTCAATGTTGTACTTCTGCAATGATTATACAGAAGAAGCTGCCATCAAGCATATCGGAAGATATGCTGGTCGAACAGTCCTCTCGTTGTTTGACTACCAGCTCAATTTTCTTTGTTCACCATCCTTCGAGGAGTGGTGGAAAAGCTATTATGCTGAGTATTTCTTCGATGAGAAGGACTTCAAGGATGAGCTGCAGAAGTCTTTTGTCCTCGTGTTGGACAAAATAAAGAAATGTAAGTTCATGTTCTCACATTACTTTTTGTCTTTTTCGACTGCTAGCCTGTTAATTTTTTCATTTGCTTTCAGTTGTTCGAAAGCCTGTAGCCAAGAAGGCTACAGAAGGCCAACAAGGAGGAGGCCCTTCAACAAAACCTCCACCGCCGGCGAAGACCACAGCGCCGGCGAAGACCACAAGCAACCAACAGGGGGAAGGTTCTTCGAAGAAGCCTTCTATATCGGTAACCAGACTTTCTTCATTTTCCTTCTGGCTTTCGATT